ATATTGATTAATAAGGTAATGTATTATATTTTTTATTTTTACTCAATTATTAAAATATTTACTGAATCACATTATTTTTTTCTATAAATGACACGTAGCACTATAAAATTGAACTGTGAAGTCATTAAGTACTTTTGGCGCAAAAAATACCATAATACCGCTGAAATAGCTAATAAATCCGGAATTCCTCTTTATTCTGTTGAATGATATATGTCTTCTCTTCATAAAAATAGTAATGTTCTAGCAATTCATCATCCTGGTCATTCGTATAAAACAAAACCAAAAAAATATTGCCAAATCAGAAAAATCTTGAAATCAAATCGCTTTACTACTTTGGCCGAAATAAAAGCATGGCTTGAAGAAACCCACCCAGGCTTTGAAATCAGTGACCAAACTGTTCATGATGAGCTTTTTAGGCTTGGTTATATTTCAATGTTACCAAGACATATTCCACTCCCTATCTAACACGCAAAAGAAAATCGACTTCAATGATCACATGATCACGTCAATTATAATTGGAATAAGGTTATATTCTCTGATGAAACAACTTTGTAGTTATCCCAAAATATCTGTTATGCATGGTCTCGTTCTGGTAAACCAACTGCACCAATAATAAAACACTCATTTAAAGTTCATGTGTGGAGTGTAATTTGTGTATGTGGAAAAGTAGGTATGCATACCTTTACACAAAATATGAATCATCATCTTTATCATCAAATTCTCAATAATCATTTATATGAAAATACAACTTGTATGTTTGGATATTGACAGTGAATCTTTCAATAGGACAACAATTCCAAGCACACCTCAAATGACATCTGAAATGATCTTGAAACACGACTTCCAAATCACATTTTGTCATGGCCATCCTATAGCCCAGATCTCAATCTTATTGAGAATATTTGGGCAGTTCTTAAACAAAATGTGAAGAAAAGAGTTAAAGGAATGGTGATACAAAAGCAGAGTATGTCACAAGAGATCTTTGTTGCATTAGTGAAGGAGGAATGGGAAAATCTTCCAAATGTAGTACTACTTAATAATATCCATAGCATGCAAAATTGCATTCAAGAATGCATTGCTATGGAAGGAAATCACACAAAATATTAATATTTTGTATATATAATAGTTTGATTATATTTATAATAAAAAAATATAATTTTTTTGGAGATTAATTATTAGTTTTTACTTTATTTTCAATAAAAACCAACCGCCATTACTTTCCGCCAGAACTGTATATAGTAATAAATAAATAAAACTCTGTAAAAATACGCAGTGTTATAATCAAAGGATTTTACACCTATAATCCATTATAATTGGTAATGAATTACAGGAATTTTTTGAGAGATTTTTCCTATAAAAATCAGGTTTTTACTGGGATTATTTTATATAATTACATATTATTAATCAGGTGATTTTGGGATTTATAGGAGTATTTTTCTCACGGGACAACATCAACCTTGTTCACTTCTATATCTCTGCAACGCTGGTTAAACATATAATAATTTAGGTACTATCTCCGGGACCAAATTCAAGTTCATCAAGAAAATATTTGTTGTCTATTAAATTTAAGCAATTAAAGACATCGATTTTTGCTGCAAATATATTTTAAATGCACATTTTAAAATAAATGTAGAATGCATCAGAAGAAATCAATACATACTAATTTTGCTAGTATCAATACATCTTTCATTATCTGTTGGAGTCTTCTTTAACTGCGTGTTCTTTTTATTATTGGCATAGTTAAAAAGATATATAGTGTCAATTGACTTATAAACTGGATGCCCAATCACCATGGAAGGGAAAGAATAGAATGAAGAAAATTCGTAATTTTCTGGAGCTTAAAATATCTGAATAAAAATTAAGAATCTAACTTGATAAAAGTATAATATTTTACCTCGACAAATAAGATCAAACAACACCTTCCTTTGGGTAAAAGATACTTTGTCTATATCTCATGTATAATCTTGAAATGGAGCCAGCGCTTTCCATGACTATCTCCTAAATCTGGGGACTCGGATAGCTGCGAATCTTCTGGATGCTCGTCAAAGTTTATAAAGGATAAATCTCAATTATATATTATTGGGTTCGTTGTGTTATGTCAAGTTGTTGTGTATTTGAAGTTACGTTGCCACATTGATCCTGGGAATTATGGTCACTGTTTTGATAGTGGATGTTCTTTTCAGTTTGAGATGTTCCTGCAGAGGCCCATGCTGGAGGATTTATAGTGAAGAAGGTACACGTCTAGTAAAAATAACTGGAAATCATTTAGACTTGACAATGATGAAGACATGCTCAATATTATTTAATAGTTTATTCTGGAAAAAAGAACACGTGAAGTTGAACCATCAGTTGCTGAGGATATGGCTTTAACCAAATCGCAGGCTGAGGGATTAGCTTGCAGGCTACTATATTTATGTATTCACATCGTATTATCATGGCATTTTGACTGTGCACAAACCTACTCAGGGTCTCTTTTGACATCAGTAATGCCTCTTGGATTGATGATTAACTTTTTTTATGTCGGAATATTTGTTAAAAAGTTTGGTTTGTCAAACGCTATTATTTCTATTGCCATTTTGCAGGTAAAATGAAATTCTCAATTCTAAGTTTTTTTATGTATACTTCAAAAATATTATCGTTTATCCCGGGAAACTAGTTATTATTATATATAAAGGCGGTCCTGTATTTATAATATATATTGTATTGAGACAGTGATATCTAATTTTTTTGATTTGTGATCTCAATTCTACTCTCAGCTTTAGTGTTAACATTGTATAGTTTGCAATGTGATGAAGAACTTGGTGAAGTCTATTCATCAATGAGTTTTTTCAACATAGGAGAATGCCCGGCGCATCTGAGTGGCGGTGAAATAAATTTCAAATGTTCATATTCGTGCACTAAAACCAATAGAATTGGTTGATGAAGGTCGGATAAAACGGATACGTTGTTTTTCATCTCTACATATCTCAAATAACCTATTAGTTAGCTGTTCAACACGGGTAACATCACAAACAGCAAATACAATGGTGAATTCAGCTCGTGCCGTATTGAACTGATAAATAACAGATATATACAGATGTATTTATGGTGCTGTTGTTGATGGTTTCATGCTCAGAAGATGTTTCTAAAGTGCGAATTGGGAAGTTGAGTGTTTTTACGTGAATGTTTTTATAATCAGTTAGGTTGGATGTTATGTAACTGTTTGAATTCTAGTAATCCTTTTTTTCAATTTTTGAAGAATTCTTTGACATTACACTCAAGATTAAACAAGAAACTCATATACAACAAGAGATTATTATTTTTTGCAAATCGCATCATATGCATTATAATGGTTAAACTTTTTATGAGATTATTTTCATCATTGACGGACAATCAACAATAGACTTTCCGCAAGCTTATTTCGTCTTGTGTGAGGTATCTCTGAATGAACTCAATTATAATATAAAGATACCTCATAGATCATTGTGGAATTTTTCTGTTAACATATCATTAAAGAAGTCTTTAGCATAGAAACATATAAATATTTACCTCACATGTAGATATAGGCATGTTCTTGGTTTTTAACAAGAATAGAACAACTTTAATAAAAAAATAATTATACTCTTGTTGTGACTCGCGTTAAAACTTGCGTATAAGTGACTTTTATTTCTTTTGTGCCTAACATAAATTAATAATGGAAGAACTCCACTCTAAAAAAAATACTTTTCTGTAGTATTGTTCGCTGGCATTGGATAAGCTCAGTCGAAACTTTTGCTTTCGTATTAATTTTTTTTAGATTTTTGGTCAGTCAATAAGTCCAACTTTTTCTCTTGTGTTAGTAGTGAGCAGAAACTACCCATATTCCTTTGGAATTTCGTTAATCGACTGATTTTGTTCCACTATCACTATTAGATATACCCTATCAATCAATTAAGCAGTAGCTCTTGTAAGAGCTATTATAGGAGACCTTTAGAGCAGATTGAGAGCTTCTCTTTTCGTAAATTATTCAATCAGAGCCTTCACCATTGTGTTGCGCCTTACTTTCTTTAATTCTAACATCTTTAGAAGAAGCATGACAATATGTCGATAAGTATGCAATCAGTGAATTAAGGAATTTAGTGGTACGGTAACTATGTTCATGCAATATACGTGCGTGTATGTACATGAAATGATAAATCAAATAAGAAATGAATACATGTACATGTACATGTATTAACATAACGCATATTTCCATTTAGTATGAAGCTTTTTTCTTATAAAAAAATTTGAATTCATATAGTGTAGAACAAATAAAACTTTTCGTACATTGATAAATAGCGAAAAAATCATATGTATATTTAAAAATTTTAAATTCATTAGTCCTTAAAATTATATTCTTTATATCTACTGTTTTATATTTAAAAGAGTCATGTATAGTTTAATAAATGTTCTAAATAATTACAGATCATGTGAATTCACATGTTAATGCTTTATATAGCCGAAATAAGAAAGCTTTAATTTTTTGCAATGTACAATTAATTAGATTTTTTAATTTGACTCTGTGATTGCAGTCTCAAATTTTGAATAATATTAATTATATAATTATTCGATAAAATTTCATGCCGAAATAGTGTATCACGTGCCCAAGTTATTTTAATATTAAAAAGATAACATCACATATATTTTTTAATTAATTATTTTAATTATTATAATTTATATTACATATCTGCTTCAGAAAATCTTCTATTAATTATATCATTTCATAAATTTCCCCGTCGTTATTCTTTTGCTGTCATGTTCCATTCTTTTTAATTAAAAATGGGAATGCCGAATTGAAATGTCCCGAGTTAAGAAAACCCCAATTTTGATCTTTGAAGGGTATAATTTGGAATTCTTAATTTGGTAATATATGGTACTTTTACATGGAGAAATTATTAATAGTTAAATGCAAATCTTTTGGCTATAGGTTGGAAGAACATTTGTTCATTTTAGTCATTCATTCATTCATCTTTTGGTAATATATACGATCATTTTTGGATCAAATGAATTTATGGCGTCATCCATTTGTCGAAAACCTTCGACAGTATCAGTGCCGAGGTCAATTTCTACTCCCTTTCCCGCTACCTTTTTTCTTTATATTCGCGGTATGAAAAAGCGCATTAATATCTAGGTATAGAAAGTCCGCAGATTGTTTCACATCGAGGGTTACTCTTTCTGCGACTGCTGGATAATGTGAGACCATCTAGCTAGAATACCATTTTTGGTTCCTCCTTCTAAATAAATGGCGTTCGTTCGCAATGAAACGGTTTTAACAAATAGACTTCAAACTGTCAAAATGGAAATCTTTCCAAATAAAATCGTCTGCCTTTCATTTACTAACTCTTCTTTTTGCTAGCTCACTAGGAGAAAGACTTAATAATAGATAAATGATGCAAATTTTATTTCATGATGACTTTTTATGAATGCTCGCATTAAATTTAATTTACTGCATAAAATCAAGGAATTTGTGGATCAGGCGTGTTGTAAAAATTTCGCGTTATTATTTGAATCTATTGAGATATTCATGATGACCTAAAATTTAACAACTGTATTTATTAAATAATAAAGACCCATATTCTCTCTTTTATAAGTAATTGTTCTTAGCATAAAAATTATGAGCACGAAAAATAAATAAATCTATAGGCTGCCTTCTTGAAATATGCACATGAGTTTCTCGATTACATCCATTCATCTAATATGCTTCAAACTCGCATTACCTGTTTTTCACATTGGCCAAAAGAATTCTTTCAACCAAGATATTACCCCTCTATATACAGCTTAAATCAACCAAAGTTAAAAAAATATGTTCAAATTCTTATGCCATTGAAACCAATTGGAAAACAATACACTTTACATGAATTCTGAAGAATAGGAAAATACAAATACACAGTTTTCAGCTATTGATCAATTGAAATTTCAAGAAGCGGTTAAAGATGCGCTTAATGATCATAAACACAACGATAAAGCCGAGATTGGAACTTCATTGAAATTGTAAATTGATTTAGTAGATAATATGCGTAGAGTCAATCCTTGTAAAAATCAAATAAAAGAGAGCATAAATAAAATTTAAAATTTTTAATTTACTTTAATGTTTCAAGTCCGTAACAGATATTACATAACATATGCTATTCGAGATAGGGAAGAACTCCGAAACATGCAAAATTTGATTGGGAATTACATCTACGCTGGACAAACGTCAAAGAAAATATCCATTGTTTACTAAGAATATAACAATCATGGAACGAAGCAGTTTAACCAAAATTGCTTAGCTGTTCTCGGATTTTCTTGTTGATACGCATATTTCGTCAATCATAATTCTTGACCTTTCAAATTCGATATATTCAGTCATTTTTTTCTTTACGATAAGGTATTCATGAGTTGCACAAAGGTAGAACTGGATGATTTTGTTTTACATTACCATTTCATTGATTTATTCGGAATGAAAATATATTATATTCCATAAACAGCTAGTTATGTAATCAAATAATCGGTTTTTTGACAAAAATAGCTATTTTTCCTTGTTCTTATAAATCATTCAGTTTTAATTTTTTTATAACTTCCAAAAAAGGTTGCAATATACCTGTCAAAAATAGATATGCGTTGCGCAGATAATTTTTTAAACAAATTTGATGATCATTTGTGATACGTCTTTTTTCTATTATCTTTTAACTTGTTTTAACAATCTATCTAGAAAAGGGTATTTTATCAATGAGTCTATAAAGAGTAATTGTTATTGTTTATATTTGTTCTTTGTCCTTCTCTAAATAAGATGTATCGATATAGAAAATGATGAATGGGTTTTTGAAAATAATAACGACAGTCATAATAAAATTTTTTCTTTAGTTTAAAAATTTATGTTTATTTTTTAAGAGTTTAATCAATTTGAAGAACTGATTATTATTAAGATAATCGTTTATTCCATAGAGACTGCTATTTTAATATATTACAATTGGTTAGTATGCTTTATTTTTATATTATACAGTCGTATCTCCCTAAGTACACATTACAAATAATATTTTGTTTATTATTTAAACTGTTTAACATACAGTTTGATAGTTCGGTCAATGATTTGGTCGGAGTTAAAGTTTATATAATAAACAGAAAGAACAATATAAAAGTTTTGCAAGCTCATTTTGTCAGAACACAAGGGATTTCATGCGATTTGTTTGATTGTCATCGAAATATCACTACAAAATGATACATGCTAATAAGCGCACACGAGCTATTTTTATTATTAAGTACAAAGATCTTTGTTATTTTGTATAATTTGAAAATTTTTAGAGATGAGATTAGTAATAATATCGTACGCAGAAATAATATCAATTTAGAGTACAAAAAGAAAAATTGCATTTATGGAAGTATCTATTTGGGGCAGAGTTTGAAGCTTGCATTTAGAGATATGTTGCATATAGGGACGTTGTATTTGGGAGGTCTAACTGTAATATCCTTCCGCTTCTGATATTATAGTATTCAAGTGTGATAAAATCACATAATTAATGACTTAAAAATTTTACTATAACTAACTTAATGATCTAATCAAAAATGGTTAATATTAATTTTGCATATTGATCTAAGCAAAAATGGTTAGAAGTTAAGGATAATAACATATATTGGATGATATTTTAAGGGGTGGGGAGTAGAGCTATATATAATTAAGCATTTTTGATTGGTAATAACATCTTACCTGGGAGTGGGAGTAAGCATCTCTGTCAAAAATGACATTAGATAATAAATTTCTTTGCCCTAATTTTGCACATATATATCACAAAAATCCGAAAATATATAACATTGAACTAGGGTATAATATAACTTAAATCAAAGATATTATTATTTAATTAAACATATTACTAAGCTTCTATTATATATCGTGCGGATTAACATCATTATAGTTTGAGCGAAGTGGAAAATTCCGATTACATTATGATTCCTTATCAGTATTAAATCAATATTATTTGGATATCCTGCATACTGCTCTAATTATGAAGAATTACAGCTATATAAAGCCAAGCTAAAATTTTCAAAATATAATTCTTGTCTATTTTTAATAATCAAATTTGTTACTGCAAATATACTTTCTGTTCAAACTACAAATTCTCATAATAAATCAAGTAATAATATATAATACATATTCAAATAAAGTAATAATATATATTATATGCGCTCATTTAATAAATTTAGTGTATAACTGTGATGTATAGGGATAGTTGAGTTGTTTTTGATAAATTATCTCGAGAATAATATGATAGATTACAATCACAGTTTATAAATGAACTTTAATTATTCTAGGTTCGTTATAATATAAGTAAAAGTTGCATGTATTCTAAATAATAAAGTTCGATGCTTATAATCACACCTATAAAAAATTGGTGCTACACATGAATGCACGGAAAACGCGCGTGAAACGCGCAAGTTACACCCAGTAAATACACGTAAAACGCGCATTTTACGTATGTTTACGTGCGCCAATTTCTTATAGAGTTAGTAGATTTGTTAGAAAGTATATGTATCATGATAAAATAATATACATGTATTTACAATTATGATTAATCAAATGTTAATGTTATGTGCATAATGCGCATTATGTGGTTAATAATCTCCGTAAACACATGTATCTATGTACATGTAATAATATTTAACCTTCTTATATAATTAATCAAGATTTGTCATTAATAATAGTCTCTTCATTTAAATATGTATGAAAACTTTGATATCATGAGTACATTCACCAAATAGTTGTTCACCAGTTCCCATAACCATATACATTTACATGTATTTGCAGCGTTTAGTCTTTCTACATTTATTCACACAAGGCTACATATGTATGTACATGTATCCTGAAACAGAAACGTCTTCATCACATGTACATGTAATACGAAAAATGATATCGATCGATATAAACGATACAACCAAAAATGTATTTCGTTCTACATGTACATGTATATGCACTGCATGTTGCATTATCTAGACAGTTTCTCTTTATTTAAATTTCGTTATGTAAAGGGAATTTTATTTAGTCAACGCAGGATTTGTTTCGCTATAATTAAAATTTGTTATACATGTATTCAGTTTTTTCAAACTATATGATTTGAGCTGGCCAAAAACTTTGTTATAAATCAATTTATTATATCCAGCATTGAATCATTGAAAATACTTTAATATTATATATTTTAGTAAATCAAAAAAATCAATAATATCGATATATTCAAATTTTCATAATATATATATTATAGTAACCAAATTTTATTATTGAGATCCCAAAATTATTTGCTTGCTAACTAAAAAAGGAAATAAGAAAATGAGAATATTATATTTTGTCCCGAGTGAATTCAAGTAATTATAAACAAATAATTTGAATACGAAGGAACATTTTATTTTTCAACAATGAATAACTTATGAGACTAGCTATTAATTGAAATTTTCAAACATGTCCAATACCCTATTTCACTAGCTTTAACGTCCCGCCAGTGGGCTAGAATCGTAGCAGATCCACATGCAAAAGCATTATGGTTAATAATATATTATGGCAAAGCACACGCATTATTTCATGCCGTTAGACTGGGTCCATCATTTATAAACGTTTCTGTTATTCAAACTTGAATTTCTCATAACATTATCATATCTAGATATTTTATACAATGCTTATTAATGCTTTTTGGTAAATATGATGAAGAACTAATAAGCCAAAAAATAATGTATGATAATGATGATATTCGAGTCTTCAAAAATAAAATCACATGTGTGTGGGCGAGTCAACTACCCCTCGATGTTTTCATGTATCTTCTTTCCGAGGGGTTTCAGCATTTTGGTGGATCGAACACAGTTCCTAAAGGAAATGATATAGAATTGTTTCACTTCTTATACGCAGGTCCTTATGTAATTAATCATGCGCCAGACAAGTTCAAACAAAACATTGCAAAAATCGAAGAACTTATACGCGTGTATCATTTTGTACAATTTCCTCCGAGACCAAAACCGAAATTTAATGATCTTGATGATAAATAAAGACAGACTAATTCCCTGTACACGAAGAATATCCACCAAAAGATGGTTACGAGAATTTTAAACAATTTAATGTGATCACGCGCGCAATATTGATTCATCCTCCTCTTGTTGAAATGTGGAAACGTGAAGGATATCCTGAGACTTGTGAAGATGTGAATGAAACTTGTAATGTAAGGTGCATTATGTATCTTGTTTCCACCTAATCCAAT